AAACTGTAAGAGGACACTTCATAGCAGCTCTATTATGTTCCTCTTTCCCAGGCAGAAGAGAAGTGAAAATATCTGTAAAGGAACAATTAGCCCCAGAGAAAAACCTACAGTCGATATGGGGGCCTTCTCATGAAGACGTCAGGTGCCAACTGGGTGCCCCTACAGAAAAGCCCGCCGGTTGACAAAGGTCTTCCAGCCTGTTTTCAGATGTGTCACTCTCCAGTACGAATGGATCCACAGAACCACCAGATATTTGAAGAAAGCCCGTGATGTGACAGACGGAGCCCGAGACTAACCAAGAGAAAGGGGACTTCGAGAAAACAGAGCCAATACAGGGAGCAGGAAAGAACTTCCCCAGACCCGCTATCATGAACATCCCCAGACGGCAAAGATCTGCAGCCACGAACCAAGAACAGGACACTATAAAACAGAAACAAGAGAACAGCAACAAAATGTTCTGGAAATTAAACATTCACCATTCATCAGGCGTGTGAGAAGATGAGCCGAGTACCTTGCCCTGAAGCCAGATCCCCCCAAATAAAAAGACTACAAGTGGAAAAGAAAAAAAAAATATTAAAGGATTATGGCGCAGAAGGTCCCACGTTGGAATAACAGGTGGTCCAGAAAGAAAGGATGTGAACCACTATGAGAAGATTTAAGAAACTTCCCAAGAGAACCCAGCATGAGGCTCACACTATAGAGGACACACCACCATCAGGACAGCTCGGAACACTAAGAAAGAAGGAAACTTGAATGCTTCCTGGGACGTGGGGAGAAGCCCAAGTCCCACGTAGAGGCTTGGGCATCCAGATGGGGCCAGAAATGTCAACCACTGCCCTGAGGGAGGCGGGTAAGAGAGAGTTATTCTCCACCAGAAATCCTGCACCCAGTTACACTTGGGTACAGGCAGAATCAAGACGTGTTAAGGTATGCACAACCTCAAGGTAGTTAAATGTTGACTTCCCAGGTTACATTTCTCAGGAAGTTACTAAAGAATGTGCCACACCCAAAGCAACACACAAGCAAACACAAAGACACACAAAAAGATGATCAAACCTTGGGGGGAGAATTTGGGCAAGAAAGGCCATGTACCCACGGTTATGCACCACCTGGCCCAGGAGCAAACGGTCTTTATGCACCTACGCTGGCTAAAAAACTATGGATATGTATTACTCGGGTAAGAATTAAAAATTGACTCTTAGAAAAGAAAAGCCATGGGTGGTTTGTCTTGCGGGCTTCGGTATTCACCTTTTATATCCAACTTTCTCTTCCGTATAAGCCTATACTCAAATGGAGAATTTTTTTTTTTTTTTTTTTTGCCTTTAAAGAAAAAAATCTGTTTACAGCCAACCTGAATCAAACGATTTTTAGGCATCTCACCAGTGGGTGGTTTAAAAAAAATGTTTTTTTAATGTTTTTATTTTTGAGACAGAGAGCACGAGCAAGGGAGGGGCAGAGAGAGAGGGAGACATGGAATCCGAAGCCGGCTCCGGGCTCCGAGCTGTCAGCACAGAGCCCAACGCGGGGCTTGAACCACGAACGGTGACATCATGACCCGAGCCGAAGTCGGACGCTCGACCGACTGAGCCACCCAGGCACCCCATCCCCAGTGGGTGGTTTTGAACAATATTACACGTTGTAATGGGTGAGAGAAGAAGCCTGCGGAGATTTTTTTTTTCTGAACGAGGTCTCGACCCGTAAGATTCGTGTTTGGATGGGCTCCTCCCCGGCTTTTCCAGCATCTAGTTTAGGCAAGGACCACGTGGCGTCCAGGGTTATAAAACACCACACACGTATTCTTTACTATCTGTATCCTAGCTTTCAGAGATGCCAAAGAGCTCGTTAATTAGCTCATTTTCCATGGCACATTTGGCCTTCACGATGGCACCACTCCAAGCTCCCGGCAGCTTTCAGCTCGGAAGGCTCGGATTCGTTCTAAGAACTAAGGAGGAGACGAGGCAGGCTGTCACCGGAATGGGATCTTGGAATGTCATTGACTGAAACGTGCTCTGTAAATCCTTTTGGCCGCGCTGGGATTCTGTAAACTTGAAACCCATTCCCTGAAGTGAGCAAGCCTCTGGGCTTGCCAAGAGAGAACCGTGATCTCTGCAGGAGGAACAACGGCTGGCTTGTCACCTATCAAGCTATCCGAGCTATCAAGGGCACTCCAGAAGTCACGGGGGACGAGCGTGAAAGTGAATGCAGCTTCCTCCCGGGAAAAACACGAGAACAAGGCAAAGGTTGTGGCTGGCCCCATGTTTTGGTTTTGTCTAAACGAGGACCTTTTTATCTAATCATTTCAGCTTCTTTCCAGGATACTCCTGGGCCAGATACAAGGTTTGTCAAAGAGGGGACAGCTCTGGACCCGGCATCAGGGGGCACGAGTGTGCTTACAAGTCTGCTCCTGGCTGCTGTGTGACCTCGGTCCACCCGCTCTGCCTCTCTGGGTTCAGCAGACAACAGGCTGTCTGAGGGCTTCTCCTGACCTAAGAGTCTGTGATTTTTATGAGTCCCGCTTGGAGAGGGGAGGACCACGGGGCGGGGGAGGACGCAAAACCGAGTCACCAGGACCTACATCTTGGCAGGAAACGGGGGTGGAGGGTGGTGCAGGGCTGAAGGAAGACGGGAGGGTGGGGGGAGGTCTCCTCACAAACTGCCTGTTCCGGTCTACTTGTTGGGGTACCTTCCGGAAAGTCTTTTCGAGAATCCCGTTATGACCGACCGGTAAGGATGCCTGTGCCGAGACTGGTGTGCACAAGAGGCAGGAGCCTGCCGGACCCCTTGTAGCTCTGACATCAGCCGGGACTGATTCTGAGCCCAGCCGTTCCTGCACTCCTCCCGGGGCTTTTACAGAGCTCTCTGCAGTGCCCTGTGGGGCCTTGGAGATCGGCCCGGAGGCCTCAGGAGCTGTCGTGGATGCTGGGGACGCTGCCCAGGCAAAGCGGGAGGGATCCCAGGCCCGGCCCTGTGTCGGCTGAGCTCGGCTTTTAATGTACCAGCTAGACTCTCCCCTGCTAGGAATTCATCTGAAAGAGGGTGCTGTTGGCGGAAACTCTTTGAAAATCACAGCTTTAACCTTCATTCAATCAATACAAAACTGAATTTACATCTCTGTCCCCCCGCCAAAAA